ATCTGTTTCAATGTTGATGTGTTCATGCGTGCACATCTGCTCACAGACTCATGTTCATGTTTGTGGTGATGTTCAATGTTTTATGTTATGAGTGCTTAGTGTATATTTAGTTGATGTTTTTCTTAGTTCATATCTTAGATGTTATTACTGTTTTTCTTATACATTTTATTGTTGGATGTAACTGGGACCCTGTGTACATAATTTCGCTCCACCACATGTACCACATGAGGTGCGAATGACAATAAAGAAACTCTGACTCTGACTCTGACTTTATTCTTATACCATAGTTTTCTTTGTATAAGTTGCAGTTTTTTGCATAATTTGCATGTCCTGCAACTTATGAGCCGAAGCAACGTATTTATGGATTTTTCCCCATAAACCAATTTTTGGCTGAGATATGACCGTTTTCATTCATTCTGACTGAACAAATTGAACACTACCATTTTCAGCCGCTAGATGGAACTCGAGTAGTATGGCCTACTGTTGTGTCATGTAATAGGTCAAAGGGGCTATTAATGACACAATCAGCCTGCCACTGTCATCTGCCTGGAGCAACCGTCAAATCAGATTCATTTCGCTGCGCTGCCCTGGCGAAATGCAGCTAACTTGACCATTGAAGTGCATTTATTAAGTAAAAGTCCAACTGAGACACACCTTTACTATAAATCGAGTTAACAAATAATTGTTTTAGGTGGTTATCTTTTTAAATTTCGAAGAAATGCACAGAGAGTCGCTCTCTGCGCGTTCATGTTTCCATGTATGGGCTTTTCAAATACAGATAATTTGACCATTGAAGTGCATTTATTAAGGAAAAATTTCAATGAGACACACCTTTACTATAATTTCAAGCAAACAAATAATTGTTTTTAAGTGTTAATCTTGTTAAATTCTTGTTAAAGTCTTCTCGTGCACGCTCCTGCAGCCGCCATTTGGCAGCCAATCGATTTTTGGCACAACACCGGCCCACATTTCCGGCTTGTTAGCGGTGACACATGATAGATGTGACGTATTTATGGATTTTTTTCACTTTATTAGAAATATTTGAACTGATGTGACTTATAGGGTGTACGACGGAAAATACGGGTACACAGTGTAACTCCTACACATTTGAATAACTTGCACCAAAAACATTAAGGGTCACTTGCATTACCTGTTCAATTCCAGTCCAGAAAAACACTCATCTTGAAAATTATAAACATTCTCTATTCAAATCCCTCAGCAGCAGGGACATCGGTGTATTGTTTTATTTTTCTCTCTCGGTATATAATTCTCACAGCATCAGTTCTGGTCCTACAATAAAAATGAATGAGTTGAAGTAGTAAGAAACACACAGGATAGCATGTGATTGCAAAACTTAAATTGCTGAAACTGCATGTTGAGCTTGAACCCCCAAAAGCTGCTGATTCAAACACATGCAGTTCAGTTTTTTGATATGTTGATGGGAAATAGCAAACTGCAGGCTAGAATAATAATAAAAAACTTTTCATCTTACACAAGTTAACTTTGAAAGGCCTAATCAGCTAGTTGGGTAAACTCTTCACAACGTCAGAAATGTCCTGAAGGTTTTCGTGCTGCAGTGCGTGTACAGAAATGGAAAAAATATATTTCTTAAAATGACCGAGTGCAGTTCCTAATGTTCCTACGCGAGTGTGGATTTAGTGTGATGACTTTGTGTGATTAAATATGGGATCAGAAGATGCAAGTGAGATGAGGAGTGAATTTCAGCACTTACAGGTATGCAGCTCTGCATCATATATTTTGATTTTGCAAGAGGGCTGTGTTTAGAAACAGACTAAGTTAATACTCAAACTTACTTTCAAGAAAATGTAATATCCTAGTCTATTTTGGAGCCCAGAGCCACATTTGTGGCTCTCTGCAGATTATGCATCATTTGCATAAGACTGTTGATGGTGAGGTTTAAAACAAACAAAAAAAAAACTGGTTTATAGCTTATTGTATCTGAAAGTACCTACGATACTAGACAAGCAGAAGTATGGAAGCATGCCAACATTTTCCAGTAGAACAATGTAGAAACACCTTGCATGACCTCCCTTGTCTTTCTCTTCAGCAAACACTTCACTCACTCAGCCATTCTCACAAGTAAACACAGCCTTGTCAGTTTTGGCTGGCCCACAGTGGAGGAGCACGCTCACTGTAGACATGGCTGCAATGTTGAAACACAACAAACGTTCAAAGATGTAACGGCTCAAATCCAGCATGGAGGTCCTCTGACCACTGAGGTTGAATTCCATTCAGACCTAAACTACAGTAAAGGTGGAGGGGAGGTTTGGAAATGGGCTGGAGTTGGACTTGCCAAATGGGCTGAGGTTAATATTTGAAATTTACAGCTGGTTTGAGGAAGTGGTCTGAAAATAAGCAGGGAATGGTGCTTGTGGCTTTGGATAAATGTGACAACTGTTGACAGGAATGCAAACATACCTCTCTTTTATTTTAAAGCTAGACAGGCAGCTTGGGATTGAAGTTCTTTTTTTAATTTTTTTGCTCAATTATTATTATTATTTTTTTTATTTTATTTTATTTTTTATATAAGAACCTTTTAGAAACATGGAAAAGTAGATGACGTTTATCCAATGGAACCTTCCTGGCTTGAAAGGAGGAGAAAAAAAAAGTAATAAAATAAAATATAAAAACTTAAGATTGTGGAAGTTGAAGTTACAATATATCCTTGCATAGTGCAAAACAAAGGTCACCAGAACATCTGCAAATCTTTGAATGGTAGCCTGGTCAGAAAGGTTAAGTGAACATACCAGAACCAGTACCTACTGTTAGAACAATCATCTGGTTTAATGTGGACACAGTGTCCTTGAGGAATCAAAAGATTTTTCTGGTTCTCGTATGTACAGTATAAGCTTTTGTCACAGCAAACCTTTTGATGTGAAAGAGTGGGGATTACATTGATTTATGAATGAGGGGTGTACTCCATTTGAGTGAAGCTGTGCTCTGAAACATGATCTATAAAACCCTCGTTATTGCATTTGGGCGATTCCTGCTTTCATAGCTGAGACAATGTCAACATTCTTAAGGAAGGTTGGTTGATTGGAAACGTACATCCCTATATGCCTGCTACAAATATGTTTTTTTTTTCTTCTTCTTCTTTTTATAATGAAAATGTACTCATTTTTGACTAAGTGGTCAAGTTCCAACTTACCCTTATTTTTACACGAGCTGCCTCCACCCCTCCTGGCTGCCCTGCAATGGACACCTGTTAACAATAAATATACGCACACAAGTTAGCACACTCTCGCACCAGTCAAGAATGACTAACCCCTGACATACAATGCATACAAACTGCACAAAGGGCCCACAATTAGATACCTGAAGTTTTAACAGAAACCCCAAAATGAGAGTTCACAGTAAGTTATTTCTATTCTAACAGAAAAGGGATTATATGCTCTAGAGATGCACAATATTGGATTTTTGGCCGAAATCCGATATGCCAATATGTTAAAACTTATTTGGCCGATAACCGATACGGATATTTTTCTCCTAGACCTACTTACAGAAACTACATAGCTTTCTCTGCTGTGGAATTAAAATACTACATTATTCTGAATGGTCTTTGTCAGTTTGGCCTGCTAACAAATGCAGATGCCAAAAAGGGGGCTGAAAATGATGCAACACTTCAACTTGGAGTATATTTAATGTCAAATTTGTTCATGACATTTACTCTCTCTAACACAATGACAACACCTGAACAGTGCAAATTTGTAAATTTTCACAAATCTAAACTCAACCTGTTCACAAGCGACAAGTGAAAATTATTCAATTCAGTTTATTTATATAGCGCCAAATCACAACAAAGTTGCCTCAGGGCACTTTACAGGAACATTCACATACATAAAAGCCAATTAGTAAAGTTCTCTATCTAAGGAACCATCAACTCAAATCTCCTTGTCACTGGGTTGTCATACAAGAACAGCACCTTTTATATCGGTGAGTTATTTTGATGGAATGGCCGAGGTTCGATATTTAACTTTATCACTAATACTGGCCGATACCAATACCATGCCGATAATAACGTGCACCCCTAATCTGCTCTAATTTTATTTACATCAACACAATTAAATTGCAAAAAATTAAATAAAATAAATTAACCAACATGTAATTTATGATGCCACTAAACTAAAAAAAAAAAAAAAACTTTTAATGGTTATAGAAAGTCCTTTGTTAAAACAATATAAAAACTGGCCTGGATGGTTTGTTTCTAAAGTCACTGCAGACAGAAAAACACAATTTGTGGCAAGCAGCTATTATATATTTTAACTTGAGAACCCTTTAGTCCCAGCAGGGTTAACGTCTACATCACCAGTTCATTTTTATGTGCTTTTCAACACAACTACACTTCTCAAAATGAACCACATCTTAAAGGTTCTTCTGCAGACTGAAGGCTCTTGGAACCAGAGAAAAAGAAAAAGTGCCTTAAGAGGTGGTGAATTTTATGGATGTCTATTGCTGCTAATCAGTCTGTACTTGCATCATCACAGTACAGCCAGAGGGGATTGAGTAGTTCATGAAATACAGAGTATAAATAAGTTTAATGGAAGAATATTCAAACTGCACAAAGAGATAAGGTTTGCATTTTTGCCCTTTAAACATAAGATTAAATTGTTAGTATTTTTGTCCAACTATGCCTTGGACAGCAGCTGGCAAAGATGCACATTTAAATCTCTGCAGAGTGATGTGTGCCCATTAGATCTTCATGGCTACAGTTTGATGACAGTTTCAGCAGGACATCATTGATCTTCAAGACCGGCCAGTAAAAACCAAATTATATCAGCTCTGTACAGCTTGAAATGCCATGACAGCTCATAAATGGACTGGACAGTTGCAAACACAGATCAACCTTAACAACTAAAAACAAAAAAATACATTCATATCTCAATTGTAGAGTGATGATAATTGGAGAGAATCAAGGCAGAAAAAGAACATAGACTGGATAGCACTTGGGCTCAGTCGAGTAAAAAAAGTGAAACGGCTCCAACCTGGTTGCTTTTCTCTGCCTGGTTGTTCCTGTTAGAGTCTGGGAAATGGATGTGACACCCCGTCTCCTCCATCACCCTCTTGATGTTGTTGCCACCTTTGCCAATAACGTGGGAGTGCTCTGTGTGAGAGACGTCCATCTTCAGAGTCACCCTGTTACTCTAATGAGTAGAAACAAAGAGGTGCATGTTGTAGACTATGGAGCACAATGGAAAAAATGGTTTATGACCAAGTCATTATACAGACTTTTTCCTACTATTACTACTGCTATTGTTGAGTTGTCAAGCCTTATGTTAGGAGGTAAAACGTAATTTCTCTTATTATTCCAACTTGTATTTCAAAATTAGGGGTTTATTGCTGAACAGTTCAAATGACCATTCTCTTTTGTTAATGAGCACAAGTGAGCCTTTTATTTGATACACACATGCAGTTACGGTTAGTGGGTTTATTTTATACATTTTTGAGAGTTAAGTTATAAGTTCTGCTAAATTTATTTTTTTATATTTTGAATTAATATTTGGCTTCACCAAAATTTAATTTTTTTGAAAGAAGGAAAGATAGAGTGCATCTTCTCTGATGATGATGTTCCTTGGAACTTTGGTGCTTTGACATCCAAGTTTAGACTCGCAGTTAAAAACTTGGGGGTGACCTTTGACAAGGATTTGAAAGAGGAAGTGAAAGACTGCCAAGTTTATTCCTAAGATGCTCTGGTCCAAAAACAACAACCTCTGTCTTGTCTGAGTTTAAAGGTCAAGACTTTTTTATTTTTTACCTTGTCCAGACCAGGAAAAGGGCATTCATGCTTTTCTCAGCTCAAGGCTCGACTGCTGCAATCCTCTGTATGTAGGAAGCTCCCAATCCTCCATGATGTCTTCAGCTGGTTCAAAATGATGCGGTCAGTCTTTTAACCAACACCCCCAGACGTGAGCACATCACCCATTTTATTTTCTCTTCATTGTCTTCCAGTCCATTTTAGAATTGATTTAAAATATATATTATTCACTTTTAAAGCTCTTAATGGTCGTTCCCTACCTAATTTAGCTAATCTAGTAGCTTTTAGTGTGTTTAGAACGTTCAGATCAACTAATACTTCTTTACTGTTTGTCACAACGTCCAAATGCAAACGTTGGGGTGACTTTGATTTTCAGTCGCTACACCCAGATTGTGGAACAAACTACCTCAGGACTTGCGCTCCATCCCTGATCTGGCTCTTTTGAAATCTAATCTTAAGACCTTTTTATTAAAAAGGGAGGCTTTTTTTTTTTTTTTTTTTTTTTTTTTTTTTTTTTTTTTTTTCGATTTATATATAAAAAAAAAAAAAAAGGGAGGCTTTTAATACCTAGTGGCTCTCTGGCATTTGGTTTTGTTTTAAATTGTTTGTTTTTGGCTTTTGTATTATGAAGCACTTTGAGCACCTTTTGGCTGTTGGAAAGGGATTAATAAATATTAATCGATTGATTGATATAGCTATTTTTATGTTGTCTAATACAAATTGGTATTTGCTGAGCACCCAAACATTTTCAGTAAGAAAAAACATATTTTGATCATGACTTTCCAATAAATCTCTATGCAAGAATGTTAAATGAGAAGATATATAAGAACATAAGACAAATCAAATGTTAACATGTGTTATAAATTGTCCCCTTTGGGAAGAAACCTTGTATCTCCCAAATTACAACTTTCTTTTTCAGTGACTGCATAAAACACATTTCACTGGTTAGTCAAAGAATAAAACCAGACAGATGTGAGGGAGAGACCAGTAAATCTTTAGGTAAAAACATGAAAATGATGAAAATGGTTTTTGCATGACAGCAATAAAATGTGAAAACAGTGAATTAGAAACAAATTAATAATAATAATAATAATAATAATAATAAACATTGTGTTACATATGTTTGACAACATTAATGCACAAAATCAAGATGTATTCTAAAGCAGAATAATCTTATCTTCACTTAATTGCCAAATAAATAAATAAAAAACAGTGGGACGTAATGTGAGGTGGGTGTGTGTGTGTGTGTGTGTGGGGGGGGGGGCAATCATATTGTGTGTGTGCAGTACTCCTTTTGTGTAGCTGCTCAAAGTTCATGGGTAATTTTCTGGCCCCATGAGGAACTGCTGTACACCATGCTGTGCCATCTTGTGTTGCTATGGCAACAAAGCTACATACACACAATTGAATCCACGGCAAGCTTGGGATGCAAGCTAAAAGCAAGCTGAACCACGATGGTGTGTCACTGAAGCACATATTTAAGATTCGGGGTATTTGATCAAACAGCCGAGTATTTGAGCCAAGTGATGAAATACTGGAGTCAGGAGAAGAAACACAAACATGGAGAGAACTACGCTAAGTCCATATTCACTTTAACGAAAATGTTAACTGTACCTTTGTGTCAAGGACGGACATGATCCTGTCTTTAGCTTCCCTGACGTTGTCCCTCTTCCCACACACCTTGATGTGTGGATCTACAGAAAAAAAAAAAAAAAAAAAAAACAGGATGTAGAGATTTTAGTGTAGTGAGCCAATCAGGAGCAGGGACAAAATGTGAAAATTAGATTAGATAAAACTTGAAAAGTAAAATAAATAATAACACATACGTTCTGCTTTTACAGTAAATACTATATAAACAAAAGAGACTGGCTATTTTAAGGTAGTGGCTGCTGCTCCTTCCCCGTCCTCCTCCTCCACCCCCCAAGTGAGGAATTGTACAGTGTGATGGCATGAGGGACAAAGGAGTTTTTCAGTTCGTTAGTCCTACGCTTGGGAAGAAGCAGTCTGTCACTGAACAGGCTCCTCTGGTTGCTGATGATGGTGTGCAGAGAGGAGTTAAAAGGATTTAACCAAACATGACTGCGTTCATTAGAAAATTAGAGACTACAGAGAAAAGCTCTGTGGGAATAATTACCGTTTTAATTTCTGTAGAATGTCACTGAAGACTGCATGAACTGCATTCACCGTTAGGCTGGTGCGTTACTCGTCGATTGTCATTCTTCAAAGCTTACACAGTTAACAGTGCTGTACTTCTACTGTCTAAAAATTGAAGGGACAGATAGTTTTTTGCACCATATTCGGTCAAACAAAAAAAGTTTTTTTTTAAGTTTAGTTTTGTTTGCTTTTCTTAAAACTGCAAACATAAAAAAGAACTGATTGTTCACCAGCTGTCACAATCAAGAAGTGGATGGTTTTCTGAAATTTACACAAAATTCAAAACAAAGTGGTAGCTGAGAGTCACGATACATACGTGTTCAACTAGTTTTAGTTATTTGATGCTAAACAGAAATATCGTCACAGTAATGTCATTACTGCCACAGTTTTAAAAACTCTTACATATATTAACCACCATGAAAATGTTTTTCTATTTTAGTACCAACTGATATTGTTAAGTGTTTTAACTTAATATATTTAACTGAATGCGTTTTACGCAGCATCAATTGACAAACACATCATGGATTTTATTACATATCCAAACACAACAACATCGATTTTAAAACATGGTGGTCTGGAGTCAAGTGACACAAAAAAAGCTCAATATCTTAAAGGAAAGTGCATCCCAGATTAAGAAACGTTTAAACTGTGGCAAAACACAACACATACTGTATACTGCACAAATATACAATAGTGTTATTTCTGAAACAATCTTAACTTATTGTAGATTTCACAAATTTTGTGCACACGTTTGAGGCAGGTGTGATATAAATAAGAAAAATGACTTGTCAAATAGAAATCCTAGTATTTTATTATGATCAAGTTAAGAAATGCAAAGTTAGTCAACAGAAATGGCTACAGTAGCTCTGTCTGACAATGACACGGTCTGTAATCCAAGAGCTGCGAGTTTGAACCCAGGTTGCATCAAGAATGATACATGATGTAAAAAAAAAAGCCAAAATTTTCCACTAACTGTGGTAACCCCTGCAGAAGGGAGCAGCCGAAAGAAAAACCGCAGCAATAAAGTCAGTGTACTAAAACTAAAAATCTAAATTACACCAATACTGGGTATGACCACCCTTTGTACAAAGTTAAGGATTTTATAGTAATAAAGTCAGGTTTATGATTAACCCAACATTCACTCAACCTTTATTTAGACAGATAAGTTACATTGAGCCTAGAAGACTCATTTACGAGTGAGATCTGTTTAGACAGACAAAACATGCCAAACAAATGTTAATAATCATTATTTTCGTTGGTAAGCTGAAACGCATCCGTTAACTGGAAAAAAAAAAAAAAAAGGTTCAAAGTTGTTGAGGAACAGCCAAGCTGACTTCTGCAACCACACCTTGCAGGTAAAAACCACAAGACTAAGAAAAGGGCAACTTTGAGAGCCAAAGACTGAGTTGAGTGGTTGTTCATGTAAAGCAGATGAAAAAATACCTTGATTAATTTTCTAGAATATACTCTA